TATTTTTTATTTTCTTTTGGCGTAATTGAGTCAGATAAAACCGGATGGTCCTCTTGGACTAGTCTTATCGAAAGCATTTTACAAAAATAAAGACCAGCTCTGATGATGGAGGAAGGCTTAGCTCGTTTTCACCCGAATCGAGGAAGGAAGTCTCGTGGACTGCATCAAAATGAATATCACATAAAAGCCAAACGGCTGCAGTACAATGAAATTCATCCGTCCTCATCTGATGAGATTGACCAACGAATCTCTTCTTCAGCCACTTTCATACGAAATGAAGGTGCCGCTAACAATGTTATCTCAGGAGATTCATCGAAATCAGGTTTCTCTTCGCATCTTTTAGCCCAATCGTAAGTCATTCTGTTGGGTCTCTCAGTAGAGGCCTATACGTGTCAGTGTCATTTTAATAAACTAGCATTTTTTCTACATTGCTTGACTTATCCATGACTGCTACTGCTCCACCTTTGTCGGACTTTATTACGATTGAATTATTACCACACAGTCATATAGAACTTCTTCTAAGATAAAGATCTTTCTTTGGCGGTATTATCTGGTCAAAATAAGGGATCACCTTCAGTTCAACACTATTCCTTATCTCCTCAGGCAATCTATAGTATAAGTTAATTAATTCAACAAGTATTTATAAATAATGGTTTTCCTCACTTGGAAGAGCAAAATTCAATCCTTTTTCCAATAAAAGTACGACACTATCCTCCACAGTTGTACCGGATAAATTGATTACCTTATCCTTCCCCATTTTGCTACAACCATGCTTAGTACGACTTACCTTAGACGCAAAGTGTTTCGACCTAATTCTAATTCCTAAATTCCGGAGCTTCTTATCAAGTATCCGACGGATCATTCAGTCAGTCGCTTCTTCTTATCCGTCAGCCATGTCTTGTAACTTCATAGAATCCACATCCTTCAATATTTCAGAAAGGGATTGCCTAAGCCTAGTTTTGGTTCTTACTAGTTCGTGTAGTTTGGTCATGCTTTCCTTGAGTATTTCTGCCTTAGTGTTAACCTCCGACTTCTAGAGTCAAGACACCCAGCTCTGATAATGTCCATCGAATGATGGACCAAAGCTTAGCCAGTTTTCACCCGAAACAAGGGAGGATGTTTCGTGGACTGCGTCAACATATACATAGTAAAAAAGCCAAACTGTTGCAGTACAACGTGATTCATCTCTTCTTCATGCACTTTAATACGAAATGAAGGTACCCCTAACAATGTTATCTCAGGAGATTCATCGAAACCAAGTTTTTCTTCGTATCTCCAAGTAAATTGTAATGGAAATTATGAAGACAAAGATGTTGTGCTCTCTGGTATGGTCGCAGTCTCCTTTCGATTTATAGAAGTGGCTAGACCTCGTTGTCGCAACTTCGTCTTGTTGTCACCTATTCGGAAATCGTCTGCCATAGTCGTTGTCATAACAACGAGGTCAACCCACTTTTATATGTCTGATGCTGGGCGTCGCCCTGACAACAAGACCAAATTGCGACAATCATGTCAACCCACTTCAGGTAAACTTTAGTTTAAAAATGGGGCTTGCTAATAGCATTGTGGGAAATTGTAACTGTCATTCATGTATCACTCTATTAGATCTAGGACAAATTAAATATCATAAAACCCTCAGCAAGAAAAGGTGCATATTGCCGAAGTAGTCTTCGAAACCATCATTAAAGGTTAAAGTAAAACTTGGGCCACCTCAAGTAAGCCTAGCAATGCTAACTCAAACGGCGTCGTATTCGAGAACAAATTGTGCTCTCTAAACTTACTAATTCTGTAACTAGTAGTCTTATGATGCTAACAATTGTAAGTTGGCCATAGCAACAATGGTCCCACACTAAGTTTCCATTGATTGGCTAGTCGTCTTCTAACTCTCTCGGTTCGGATCTAGGTCCCGTCAAAGGTGGATGGTCGAGAATGCAGTCCAATCGCAATAGATACAGAATCTAGCGAAATTCGCTGGAATCAAGAGACCAATTGTGTTGCTGGGTCAACTTTCATCTCGTATAAAAGTGTATGAAGAAAAGATTCGAATGTCGATCTCACCAGAAGACGACATCTGATTCCTGTTGTAAGACAGTCGTTTGGCTTTACTCCGACCTTCAGGTTAATGCAGCCCACGAGACGTCCTCGCTTGTTTCGGGTGAAAACAGGCTGAGCTATCGTCTATCAACTGATGGACATCATCAAAGCTGGAACTTATTATTGCGAAAGTATCGAATTAACACTTTGTCAAGAAGAATTTTCCAAGACGTTTATGAGACTGCGCTTCAGCTTTGATGATATTCATTATCTGATGGACAATAGTTCCGCCCGTTTTCGCCCGAAACCAAGCAGGATGTCTCGTGGACTGCATCAATCTGAAGGTGGTGATAAAACCAAACGTCTGTCATACAACAGGAAACAGCCATCGAGCTTAGAATCTCTTCATCAAACGCTTTAATACGAAGTGTTATTTCAGGAGATTCATTGAAGCCCAGTCATACTTCGCATGTACACTTAGTTTGCATTGTGGACACATTCATCATCAGTTGCTAACCCACCCACCAAATGACCAGTGATCTAATTTGTAAGAAGTCGGTTGACCTCGTTGCCGCAACTTGGTCTTGTTGTCAAGGCGACCTAATTAAATGCACCTTGTCCATAGTCCTCAGCCATAGTCGTTGTCATAATTCCCAGCATCAGACCGCGGATTTGGTACATTCTCAGAGGCTTCGCCGGCATCGTAGTCGGCATCGTCAGTGAGTTTGGCCATTCTCCACACTAAACTACGAACTCGTCAAATAGACAACAAACCTTCTGTCCTGGCCTATCTATCTACTCTTTACCATCTTATATAACTCCCGCCCTATCACAATTTCTCACTTATTATCACCATCTTGATCTTCATATCCAATTTTCAAGCTCCAAGACTCGATCCCCTCCAAGTGCAGAGACGAGCAGTGGACATGTGAAAGTTATGACCTGGCTTACGATGCCTAGCTCAGAGTAGGATAACCGAATTACATATGAACTTTCTTCGAAGGCTATCAGTGTGTAGGGGGTAAGTAGGTGGGACATAAAATTCAAGTGAAATAATTATTAAAAAAACTCATTCATATACTTTTTCATCCATTTTCTCGAGACGGTATCGAATGAGCTCAACAAGTTTGAGAGCCTCACCGGCAAGTAGCCTCGTTTGTCACTCTTACCAGTTGTCAGTGACGATAAGTATCGAGATAAACCTCATAAAGTGAGACTTACCGTCACGCTCTTTCTGTTGTTCCTCAGCCGTTTCGAGTCTTCGTGACAGACGATCCAACCGATCTTTCTCGCTCTGTACACAAGCCGCCTCGAAATCGGCTCGACGCTGTTTGAGGTCCTCCATATGCCTCAATTTCGACTTTACACTGGCAAATCGGAAACCCTTGTTCGGATGTACCTTGGCCAACTTGTATGTCTCGGAGGTGTCTATTTTGTCGACGTCCACGAGAGGATACTAAAAAAAACGCAAGAATGTCATAAAAATTATTTTTCTTTTACAAATAGATCCTAGATACTATAAGTAGATCATATATTTATTTATTTGGTTTATTTTTTCTATTTATTCCTTTGTTTGTTTGTTTGTTTGTTTATGTATTTATGTATTCATTTGTTTATTAATTAATTTATTTATTTGTTGTTTGTTTGTTTGTTTGTTTGTTTATATATATATACATATATATATATATTTATATTTATGTATTTATATATTAATTAATTAATTAATTTATTTATTTATTTATT